CTGCATTTGCAGCACCCAGAAAGCAGAAAAAGTGTACCTTAAAAATTACTTAGAAGAGATTCCATGGCCATGGGATGCTCTGATGAGCCATCAGAGTGATCTGAGTGAACATCTACATTTAAAAAACACACTGCATACATTTTGTTCTGCTAGCGTAGCTGCAGCAATGTTTCTCTGCATATTTTTCTTCACAGCTATTGTTTTTACTGGTGTCTGCTAACTGAACACTGCTTTGTTACGGAAAGGGAAATAGGTCACCATTACCAGAACACAGCTAAAGTCTCTGCAAGACTCTTTGACTGGTTCTAAATACAGAAGGAGAGCTGTGATCTGTGTGCTGAAGGTATTTGGGGTCACTTGGAGCCTTATGTTTGAATTAATAGTTGTGCCTAGTGACAGGAGTTTTCTTAAAACATATAGAGGCCTCTTTTCTCACCAAATAAAACATGTTTTCATCATCCTGAGTGAAGAGGATATTTCTTTTATTCAAATTTTCAGTGGAAATTATGAATCATGAGTCGCTATTCAGCATGGGTGGCTGTTTTCTCCAGTACGTCTATATTTTCCACTAAAGAGTATGCTTTTTTTTTTCTTTAATCTTTAAACAGAAATATTACCAACCCACTTAGCAGGAAGGAAAGACAGGCCTGTTTCATCTGGGTTGGATTCCTGATGCAGATGAAGTTTCCTTTAGCTTTTGAAGCTGGTGATGGGGCGGTAGGAAATGCTTCATAGATCTTTGCATTGGCTGTGTGAAAAAGAAACAAGGAAATGCAGAGAAGGTGCTCAGCAGCAGCTTTGCACTCCCTCAGTGTGGCTCCTTGGCCAGGCCAGGCTGCTGCAGACCACAGAGGGTGCCTCTGGCTGACAGCACAGCCCTGTCAGGGTTGAGCAGCTCCTTCACAGATGGAAAAGCTGTGGGTAGTGGCTAGTGTTTGGGAGGGTAGTGTCTCCATCAGACCCTTACAGGCGGCTGAAGTCCAAGGCCAGGGAGTGTTCTGAATAAACAAACTGTGCTTGAAAGAGATCCTTATTCAGACTGCATGTTTTGGTTAGTCCCTTGAATAAAAAACATGGGTTTTTTTGGAAGCAAAGATACTTTTTGTTCTGGAAGCCTGCCTTAAGAATTGCTTATTTTAGTCTATTATAGTCCATAGAAGTTACGGGCTGGCTAAGGTTTTGTCAAACAACTTGGTGGATGCCAGGTATTTTTCTGGAAACTACCTGTCCTCACAAGCAATATTTGCCAGCTTTTACTGCAAATGGGGTCTGTGTCATGGCCGTGAGGTTTTGCAACTCCCCAGATCCTAAATCCTTTCATTTAGCTTGTCTTCCTTACACTCCTGGAACCCACACACCCCTCTAACACAGCCATGGCAGTGTGTTTAATTTCCCTTTCATGACCACTGTATATCCAAGGAGGGGCTTCTGCTGTACCCTTTCCCTGAGCTTCCCTTTTCTGCACAGGTGAGCCACTGTAAAGTCCTGCCACCAACAGCCAATGTCCCAGAGAGCTTCCCTGCTGCAGAAGAGAAAGTCCTGGCTGGGTCTCTGAAGCACAGGTATTAAGAGGAGCCAGGGCATGGGATGGATTTCAATGGACCTGTGGTTGTGACTGAACAGCAGAGACATAGAGAGGAATAGGGATGGAAATACAAGGATGTAGGTAGCTAGAGCTACTGAAGTATAGCTCTGTTTCATGAGAGCAGCAGCACCAAGCTCTGATTCCCTTAAGAGATTCTGTCATCCCTTTGTCTCATGGTCATGGTCCTACCCAGTTGCATGGGAGCCATACACCAGCCTGATCAACAGGAGGATCCATAGATAGGAGGATCAATAGGGACTTCTGCTGGCACTCTACCAGATGCTTAATACAACATCCATTGTTTCACGCAGGCCCAAAAGAGCCTTAATGAGCAAATCCTTTCTTTTTCTTTTTTTTTTGATAAGGGAGGAGCTGGTGGGAGATGGATTTGTTTGGGGTTTTTTCAGTGAAGGGTGTTCAGTTTTCAAAGGGAAAATTATTTGACTGAATAGATAAAAACAAGTAGTTTACATTTTGTGGAGGAGGAAAGTAGCCCAGCAAAAGGTCTGAGAACCCCAGTTTTGAGCTTCCTCCTCCAAAATTTGGCCTCTGGTGCCTGAAAAGCCTATGCAGTGTTCTCATGCTCCATAGATGGTGTTCAAACTGCCACCTTTGGAAGGAAATATTCTCCCTCCTGTTCTCATTAACTGCTGCTAAGAAAATTTCCACTTTTCTCAGTGTTACAGAGATTTTTTCAGAAGAACCCTAACACAGCAAAAGAGCCTTCCTTCTCAGCACAGGGAAAGGGAACAGCCCCTTGTAAGTCTTAGCACAATCCAGAGATTAAATCCTGGCCTCAATTCTGAGAGATGGCAACACACTATTATAAACTGCATGAAACTTGCTGCTGCAGTGCATTGGGACAGAGGATGAAATATCATTGGTGATGGATTTGCCAACAGTGTACTAAAAACTGGGAGGAGTGTTGCAAGATTTAATACATGGAAGACATTAGATATTTCAAAGTTGTTAGTGTTTGCAGTTTTTAAAAATGATTATGCTTGATGTGTGCAGCCACTAAATCTTTCTTGTTGATAATCAGAGCTGATTTATCTCTTTCTAAAAATTGATCTCAAACCATACAAGATCTAATTGCTCCCAGGAGAAATTAAATAGCTCAGGCACATGAATTTAGATGAAGTTCACCCCCTGACCTCTTCTTCATATCTCCAGTTCATACCTGTCCAGTTTCTTTTGCCAGGAAAGCTGTTTAATCCTTCCTATTCCTCCCTTTTCTCCAAGCAACCCCACACACTGAATTGTGAACTCATAACTGTAGAACATAAACACAAATCTTGAACTTTCGTCTCTCAAGAAAATGAGAAATTTTTATGACAGTGGGTAGGCTACTATAACAATGATGGACTGGACAACTTAGGGGACTTGGGTATATGGAGTGTCTCATTGCAGTTAAAGTCAAACCAAAGGCAGAGACTACCTCCCCAGTAAACCTTGCATGGGCAGAAGTCCCTACTAACTGAATAGATTTATTTTTAACTAAATAGTTTCAATTACCCTGTATTTTTCTTGTTTTGTTTTATTATTAAGGTGTTCTTCTGCATGGTAACTTATAGATTCAAATGCATAAGGGACTCCCCACATTATAAAACACTTTATGAATAATGGTGTACGATATCACGAGTACTGATCCTGTGACTCATTTGTTTGCTTTACTCAAATTTGGGAGCCTCTTTTCCCCAGCCTTAAATAAACTTTTTAAAGTCTGTAAGAAATATGGTAGAACTTAGAACTATTTGAACTTTGAAGTCGGTGAAATACCTGTACTAAGGGAAAATGGCCCTCTCAGTGTCATTTCATTCCCTATACTATATATTAGGTATGAAATTGCCATCTTGAAGCGAATCATTAAATTCTTAGAGCATTCAGATTTGGGTTCATAATGCAGGCTGGGAAGATAAGCTTGCAAAATACATATCAAGGTTTGGATTTCAAACCAACTCAAGATATACAGGTGTTCACATTATGATATACTTATCGTTTATCCTTCCTTACATTTTGGAGTGGCTGAAGTTGTCATCCTGTACATCTTTCACCTGTTCACATCAGATCACTCTATCTGTTTAGCAAAGTCATTTTTCTGAAGTCATAAATTTTTTTATTTCAGGTCTTTACCTTCAAGATCACAAGTGGTTCTTTGCCATACATACCTATTTGGTTTATTGACTTTATTGTCTTCATATACTCCATACTGGTACAGACTGGGAAGAGCTAAAGAGCATTAGTGGGTGTAAATACATGTGGGGTGACTTATACCAGTTATAAATCAGAAAGGATGAAAGCAGCTTACTGGCACTGAATCTTGCATTAGATGTCGTATGACAGAAACTGATTTTACATAACCGCTGTTGTTAGAGATTCAGCTCCTGGAAAAGCCCTAGCAAAAATAATTTTTCAGTAATAATCTCAATGAATCAATAGAAGACAAGAATGTAGAGGGAGAGGTTGTAGAACCCTCCTTGTGGAGTCTCAAACAACTGTATAATTTCTGTGACAATCCTAAACCATTACGTAGCAAACAGAGAAATCATAGGTTGACATTGTATATTAGTAGTTTATTTTACCCTCAGACCTCTGATTTCCTGGCTGTTATTTGGAAGATTCTCAAGCTTCTACTTGTCTTGAAAGAGGACTTTTTAGAGGAGTTGGCTGTAATATTCTTATTTGAATTTTTTTCCTGCTAAAGTGGTCTTTTTCCAAAACTGGGAGTTTCCAAAGAGAGGTTTTACTTTTTGAAATGATGACCTGTTAGAATATTGTGCTTTTTTTATTTGTTTATTTTATTTTAACCCTTTCTTGTCACACAGTCTATAGACTCAGTTTGTGTTATTTTTTTCATGGTGTTTTTTTTTTTTCCTCATTTTGTCATCCTTTGTCTTCTTTCAGCTACTTTTAATTTTGATGTATTGAAGAATGGCAGAAAGAAATTGAAAAATGTCCCAAATTAATCCTGAATGTTATAAGTATCCTGCATAAGGGGTTAAGGGAAAGGAAGAAGAGATGGGACAATACTAAAAAAGACTTTCTCATGAAAATAAAAGGAAACAAACAGATCCAAACTGATAGTGTCACTATCTCACTGCATAGAAACAGGGCCAAATTTTTGGTTTTCATTTTTTTAATATTTTTTTCCTTGCTCTTTTTCCTGCTTCCCACTAAGATGCTATACAGGGATAAATTTTCCTGTACTCTCTTCTCTCCCCATTGTACTGTGGACTTTACAGAGCTTAATTCTTTCACGTGACGTGTATTCGTGCATGAACTTTCTTGTGGACACATATGGCATAATAAAAAAATGTTTTATTAAGAATAAAAATATATTTTTCCAGAAAGAAAGCAGTAATGGAACCTGAGGCTTCCAAATGCACTGTTATAATGAACATAAATAATTTCTCTCTCCAGTGCAGGATGTATGTATTTTAAACTGCCTTATTCACACTTTCATCATTTGTCCTTTATCCGGTAACATCTCAAGTCAAACCTCGAGTTTCTCCTTCTTTCAGAAACTCTTCATGAATTTCCATCTCAGTCTGGTGCAAGGTTCCAGGGGGTAAGATTCTCCTCTGTTACATAGGATCTTGCATCTAGTATTTCTCATAGGTAGTAGAGGTTAGCTGTTTTCACCAATAATTTTCAAAGGCAGTAATTTCACCAATACTTCTTTAAAACGGTGAGATGGGTGTATTTGTGGAGGTAGAGAAGAGCTTTGTTTGCTGAGGAGGTCAAGTAATTTGCAGAGGTTATGTGTCAGGAGGATGGGACAGAACGTAATGTTACCCAACACGGCAGGGTGCCCTCATCATCCCTGCCAAGGAGCTGGTTACCTGAGCAGGGTAGGGGCTGTGTGATTGGCAGTCCCCACCTCATTCGGTGCCTAACTAGTTTCCCTTTGCTTAATGTCACAGTTAGCAGTTTGCACCTTCTCTCTGCAAAACTTCTGTGTATGCAGGTGTTTGTTGAGGGAACCCCTGCTCTTGATATACCTGCTTATTTCCTCCTCATCCCCATCTGCCCCATGAAAACAGCCTTCTCTTTGCCAGACAAGCAGGTGGTGTATCTTTCTCAGCAGTGTCCCCTGACCAATGCCTGTTTTTTTAATGTATTACAGAGAGGCTCAGAATCAATGTACCACTCTGGCAGCCAAATGGCGTCTGGCAAGACATGCAGTTTGGATTCCCAGCTGGTCATTTATGGTCAGAGTTTTGATGGATTTCACAAGGAGTATGAAGGATTGATCGTTTCATTCATACTGAAGGCTCTCAGCAATTTCAGGCAGGTCAAGTAACCCCTAAACCCACTGGGGAAGTGGTAAAGGTTTCATGTCAAACCAAAAGAGGAAGTTAATTGCAGTGCAGAGTCCATATGGACACGAGGCCATACGGGCCTTATGGACTGTGTCGTATTTGTGCTGCAAGACATGTGAATAGGAGAGATCGTGCCTCCTAGTTCAGGGTCTGATCCTGAAGATTTGAACTGATCTAAAGTGAAATTGCAGTCTTGAAATACATTCATCTTGTAATATATTCCTCTGTTAGTAAAAGCATTCAGAATTTAATTAAATAAGGGGAGCCTCGAGGTGTGAATGGCGAAGATGTATTGACAACACAGATACAAAAAATGCAGATTACATACTTGAGGTACTGTGTCTCAGAGAAGCCTCTGCTGTACTCTCTGCTGTACACTCTCGGGTTTTGTTCCCATGCTAAAGTAGCCCAAACAGAAGGGCGTGTGCAATACATCGACAGTATGGCTGTGCCACAAGGACTGGCACTGGAGGTAGTCTTTTTTTTTTTTTGTCACCAGTGGAAAGTTTGTCATAAAGGAGACTAGAAAATAAAAGTTCTTTCTGTGACAGCACTACAGCAATCTACTCTCAAGCAAACTAATTTTCTACATTTTCTTCAACTACAAGCTGACATCTTTAACAAGCTGACACGTTGTTGGCACTTCATGTCCGAGTCAGTGGGTTGGGCAGGGTGCCAGTTAACAAACAAGGCTAGAGCAAAACACAGCTCAGAACAGTACTGGGGTGGGTGTCTCATGACTGAGCACAGGATCATCATGAGAGCTCAGGGAGGCTGGGAAAGGTGAGGAAATGCTGGTTTCCCATTGTCCAGGTTCAAGTAGATGGAAAACTGTGCTTCCAAAATTTCGACGCCACAAGCAACTTATACCTAGAATAGAAATGGAAAATCAGTTACATGAAACACCCCATATGTCTGAATCAGTCCAAATTCTTCTTCTGTTCTCTTCTGTAGCCAGTAGCTTCAGCTACTAAGCAAGGGCTTGAGCAGGTAGGAAGTTCCTCATTCTCTACAGTATACTTGCCTTTAGCCAGTAACACTCAGTAAATCTAGTAAATCACTTCCCTAGAAAGATTGTGGGTACCACACATCATCTGAAGATTCTGAATGGAACAGTTTCGTATCTCTTCCTCATGCATAAGATGGCACAGACACGAAGCAGTTGCATTTCTAGGAACCAGCCTACCACTATGATTCAAAAGGTTTTCAGAGATTTTGCTTTTAATTTCATCTTCCTGTAAGATGGCAGCATGAACTCCACTAACAAGCTATTGTAACAATCCCATCCAGCCACCCACCCATCTAGGAAGCAATGGCAGAGACAGCAAGCAGTCCTTTCCCTCTCAGAGAAAGCCTTGTAAGAGACACAAACAGAGATATAACTAGGCTTCATACAACCTCAGATTCTTGGTTTTTTAGCTGCATTCACTGCTGCCATGGGCATGTATTCACTGTTGTACTCATGGGAGTTGGAGTCACACTTTTGAATCTGCCAACAGAGGGAAAATACCATGAATTAATTTGTGGTCACTAACCTTTACCACTCCTGCCTTTGTTCTTTAAGTAGGGCAGTAACTCTGTCTGTTTTCAGTGAGAATAATAAAGTCAGAATTGACAGGCACTCACAAAGAAAACTTGCAATAAAACAAACTGAAAATTAAAAACACGCATTGCCCAAAAGAATAGCTAATGCTCACGGTCTTCCTTCTTTCCAAATGGTTCTTTGTTTAAGTGGTTTTGCACCAGAACAGTGCTGAAATTGCTCCAGTGATGATTTGTTTCCCCTTCTTGAAGAAAACAATCAGGTGAATTTCTTACCAAAGTAATTTTGCTGACCTGTGCAGCATTTCTCCTCTTTCCTTTGGTTCCCAGACTTTAAATCAATAAACAATTCTGTCTTCGAAAAATTACATTTGAGCTGCTGTCATCAATGACTGAATTCCAGTGGTAAATCAACAACTCAGTCTTCTTGTCAAAAAACACCGCACGTGCTCAGTGAGTATGTGCCCGTCCCACCCTTTAAATCTCATTAAATCAAGTTCCCCATCCATGACCCTTGGAAAAATGGTTCTGCATAATCTCGTATATTTGCTTACCTTGTTCCTTAAGCAACAGACTACAACACAGCAGACACAGGAAATCAGGGAAACCGTGATCAGGCCAATAATTATCCATGACTCCTGTCCCAGTGAAAAGCAGTCTTCCTTATCTGGACATGGGGATGCAAAAAAAAGTCATTACTGACAATTTGCAGGTTTGCCTCCTACAGATAACTTCAAATTATTTTCATTCTTCTCTTCATATTAAAAAATTAGCAAAAGTGAGCTCTGGAGAAGGATTTTCCTGAGCTGAATCACCACCTTGGAAAAGCGTATTCGGCAGGAAGCAAAATATTGCAGTTTTCCAGAAGGAGAGGTGAAACTGTTGGTAAACTGTGCTCAAAGTGCAGACAGAATAGAAACCAAGTCAGGCTTGAGAGTATGATGATATTTCAGATCTGAGTAAGGCTTCAGCTTGCATTCAGTGAGTACCACAGGTGATCTAAAGGGCAGCCTGATCAAAAGAAGGGGTAGACCTTTGCTGTCATGTTTGGATAGGAAGGCAAGCTGAGGTACACAAGATCACCTTTGCCCAGATCTGGCAGAAAATATGATAGGGCATGAAACATTTGGAAAAAATTATGAACATCTGGCTATCCATACAAATGGAAACGGACACTGCAGACAAAATCAAATGTCACAGCTTGATTCTGAGAATCTTTTTTAAATTCAGAGAGGGATGAGAGATAATTTGACCCAACCACATAATTGTAGCCTCAGCATTTCAGCTTCTATCTTTGTTTATCCTTAACATTTACACTCAGCAGCTTGAAAATGGACAAGGGAAATTTCTGCTGCAGGCAAAGGTGGGACTGCAGTACCCCAAAGCTGTAGTCTAGCTAACTTGGCTGCCACCAACAGTATGCAAAGCTCAGCATGGCCTGAAAAACCTGCCCAAGAAGATGAATAAATACAGAGAAGGCATGCTGATCAGTCTGCCAACACAGCTCCACTGCTACCACCCCCCTGCTAAGTAGTTTTAGGCTGTCCTGTAAATAGCTGTGCAAACTCTAGTCACATTTTTCACTGCAGCATAGCCATGCCTGATGTCTACTTATCAGTAAACTGAAGTGAGGGGAGAAGTAAACTTACCTGGGATGTACAAACAGATTTCTTTCAGGCGGCAATCTATATAAGGAGGGGGGAAGAATACCTCCAGACAGTAGATATAAATGTCCATGTGCTTTCTTTCCAGATTTTTAAGAATGAAAGTGGTGCTGGTATTTGAATTCTTTGTCTCACAGTAGGTGACATTACTCTTGGGGAAAACATTCTCTTCATTCAAATGGAGTGTACAGATTTCCTTCTTTTCTTTCCCTTTGAAGAGGGTCATGCTGAACTCGCTCACATTTTGGGGGTTGGGAAATGTGAAGTTGAAGTTTCCATTTTCAAATTCTACCATCACCTGGGGGTCAAGGTTGTAGAGCTGATCTGAAGACATAAAAACAATAAGTATAGTCAGTCACAGAACAATGAAAAGAATCCCTAAAGTGTTAAGAAACTCCTTTAAACAAAGCAAATAAACCAAGTGATTGAAAATTAAGGCATGTAGGTACTCAGAAAGGCCTGGCAGTGGAAAGCAGCCCTCACAATGAGATACCATTGTATCATTCTGGTCATGTCACACATTACGGACAAAAAAAAATGAGACCTGGCTTGTTATCTACTATAAGGCTGGAGAGGTCACTGTTGGCATTAGATCAGCAACCTTGATAATATTTCTCATTACTAAAGTTGCTAAATGATAAAGTTACTAAGGTTACTTAAAATATCAGTTACTAGATATTGTTTAAAGTCTCCCCTGGACCAAACACTATATAGACATACAATCCCTGTCTCAGACTGTCAGATTGTCCTATAGGTAAAACAAGGTGGGACAAAGATGACGATAATTATCTCTATTTTTGTTCATAATCTGTACCCCAGTGATCGTGGGATTATAGAATTGTATGTGTTGGAAAAGACCCTTAAAATCATTGAGTCCAACCATTAATCCAGCACTGCCAAGTCCACCACTAAACCATGTCCCTAAGTGCCACATGTACGTGTCTTTTAATACCTCCAAGGATGGTGACTCCACAACTTTCCTGGGCAGCCTGTTCCAATGTTTGTCTGCTCTTTCAGTGAAGAAATCTTTCCTAATATCCAAGCTAAAATTCTCCTCGTGCAACTTGAGACCTCTTCCTCTTGTCCTGACACTTTTTACTTGGGAGAAGAGACTGAATCCTACCTTGCCACAACCTCCTTTTACGTAGGTGTAGAAAGCATTAAGCTCTCCCCTGAGCCTCCTTTTCTTCAGGATAAACACCAGCCATTCATTTCACCAGCTCCATTGCCATTCTCTGGATATGCCACAGCACCTCAACAGCTTTCTTGTAGTGAGGGGCCCGGAACTGGACACAGCACTCGAGGTGTGGCATCCTCAGTGCCAAGGGCAGGGGGGGCAGTCACTGCCCTGGTCCTGCTGGCCACACTATTCCTCATACAGTCCAGGGTGCCATTGGTCTTCTCGGCCACCTGGGCACACTGCTGGCTCATGATCAGCTGCTGTTAACCAGCACCCCCAGGTCCTTTTCCACTAGGCAGCTTTCCAGACACTCTGCCCTAACCTGTAACTCCCCATGGGATTGTTGTGACTGAAGTGTAGGACCCTGCACTTGGCCTCATTGAACCTCATACAACTGGCCTCAGCAGTCTGTCCAGATCCCACTGCAGACAGAGCCTTCCTACCCTCCCACCTAACACTTCCACCTACCTGGATGTTTTCTGCAAACTTATTGAGGGTGCACTTGATCCCCTTGTCTGGGTCATTGATAAAGATATTAAACAGAACTGTCCCCAAAAATGAGCTCTGGGGAATACCACTTGTGACTGGCTGCCAGTCACTACCAATCTCTGGGCTCAGCCATCCAGACAGTTTGATGATATAGCTGAACATTTAAAATGGGATGTGAGCCCAAAACTCTTACATAACTTCCTTAACCACAAGACTCAGCTTTTCTTTGTTGAGTAGATAGTGATTTGAAGCACATTATAAAGTTTCAACCTGATTACTTAGATGGCTATAGCACCTTTATCACTAACATAATGGAAAAAGTAGAAGACAGAGGTCACTGTGTGCATGCACCTGCATGCAATCCAGAAATCACATCTGACCTTCCTAAAAACTGCCTGAAAATCTCTCAGATGTTCTGCAACTCTCACTGGGCAAATTTCTTGGAGAAGCAAAAGAAAGTAAACTGACCAAGGACCTCCTGCTACCTCACAGTTTGACTCTGTAAAGTCAGCAACCAATAGCATGGGAAACTCCTTCAAATAAAAATATGTTAAAGTGTGCTGTAAAAAAATGAGAGTTTTTTTCTTCAAGGGCAGTATTTTCTGATCTAAAAAGGCATTTAACATCATAAACCAAATTAGGCAAATATGTCTTACCTATATTTTTGCATGGTTTTGATGAGCAGCTCTCAACTCCTGAAAAATACAAAATTGTTTCCTGTTTAAAATGCAAGAACAAGGGCTGAGCCATGCAATGTTAAGATGCTGAAGCAATTTTTTAATTTGTATCATTAGCCTGTCTGATCCTTTCTGTGCTACACCATAAACTTATATGATGTGATAAAACAATGAAATATAAAAAGCAAAGCAGAAAGAAAATGCTTAAGGCAAGAACTTATATTTATCATACATATAGCATTTACAGATTCTGTTTTAAGAATCTGCAAAGTAATAGGTGTACTTCATAAACAGAAACTGAGACAGAAGTAAAATTTTTTCGCAAAATACTGAGGAAATCTGGCCCACGTAATATAGCATACTTTTGATTTCTCATGAATCTGAGTGTGCAGTGAGCCAGCATTACACTTTGTTTCCAGATCAAAGTGCTCATTTCCATCAACTTTTATTCTGTTTCCCCCACTGCTCAGCTCTGCATCAAAGTATCTTATGGCACATCCAGAACGAATATGTATTTGATGTTCCAATATGTACAGCAAGAAAACCTTCAAGCAATGCATATGGTTTTATTCCTTTTTCAGCAGCAACTTTTTCCTTCATTGTTCATAGATGTCCTTCGTTACAGGACGCAGCCACATTTTTAATGTGTTCTGGATTGGTTCTTCAAGCTGCAGCCTCCATCATCACCCACTATGGTAATACTATGAAATTGTTTGTATGTCAGTACTGGCAACAATAGCCCAGTCTGATAGTGATTCATTTGTAATTTTTCTTTTTGCAGTGTCCTAAAATTAAATGTAAAGACAGGTATACAGACAAACAGAAAAACTGTGCTTTTCCTGTTTTCTGGGAGCCTGTGTAAGTTCTTCAGAGGCTGCTTAGATTGAAGTACACTCTACATCAGCATTTTATGATGCTAAGCAATTATGGGGCAAATACTTAAAGACTTTGATAATATTCTTCTTGTTACTGCTACAGGGTAGTCTAGATCCACACAGAGCAGGTCGCCAGCTGTGCCAGGTGGTGCACTGATTACAAAGTATGAATAATCTTTTTCCCAAGGCACCTGTTATCTTGGTCATCTGGCCTGTATATGCACAGGAACAGAGGATTATTCTCTTTTGGGTACCTTTGTATGATCTCAGCTCTTTCTGGAAAGAGACAATCTTTTAGTGTCCATGCTTTTTCCTTCTTTGAATCCTTGCCCCACAATTACTGCCACTGGCAAGGGTATTTGCATGAGTGATACTAGTCTGAAATATTTTTAGTGTAACACATAAGCTCATGGACTTCTGGAAGACACTTTGCAATGCTCAGTTGGAAAGCTACAGAAACTTTATCCCTTTTTGATTGCTTTACCATCTTCCTGGCTACCACATCCTTCTTGGTTTACTGTGCACAGTCAGTGCCCTTATCTAATTCAGTGACAGTTCTAATATCTGTACTCTGCTCAGGACTGTTACTTAGGTGTATGATAACAGACAAGGTGTTTGGCATCTTGGACCACTGGTGTGAAGATAGGCAGCCAAAACACACAACTCACCAACCCACGGTGAAACAGAGCTCTAGAACCACTGAATACACAGACAAAGTGCAAGCCCTTAAAATGTTACATAGTGTGAAAGGCTGAAAGCAAAGGTCACATAAAGAAACAGTTCCTGATGACTCTCACGTTGCATGATGAAAAAAACCCTTGCTGCTATGAGAAGAGTATTTGAAATAAAGGTCTTTAAAAATGCACTGTAGTTTGGTAACATATACCTTTAAAATTTGGCCAAAGAGCAGAGAAATTATTTAGGGAGGGGAAATAAAGAACAAATGTGTTGGTACAGCAGAATTAGGGAACATGATGAATGCTTAAGTTACCCTGATACTTCTGAGAAGCACTTGCCTGTAGCTGAGACCTTTACATTTGTCACTGGTTGTCTGAGAGGAGAGGCAGATGCTGACTCTCTCAGGGCAGCTACAGAGCCAAGTGGTGCCATATTCCCTCCATGTCCCAGAGGAGCACGGCACTACCCTACTCTGAGCACTAAAGCAACAAATTTGAATTTGTTTTCTCTGTTTGTCTCTGAGAATAGTTCAATTAGGCTGTTAGCTAATGAAATTGCCCTTTCATACAGGGTAGTTTAAAATGTTTGTCAGAGATCATGGTTTTAATCCTTGTTTTTAATGGAAAAGGGCACAGAGAGGTCATTAAGCATTTAGTTCATGTGACCTTGTGTCAAGCTGAAAGATCGTTTTGTATCCTCTCAGACCCAGAAGCCTAAACTGCCTATTTTCAAGAAAGACTCAGTAATGTATTTCTCTGAATGAGCATTTTGATAAATGTGATGCAATTAATATTCCTTTGAAACAAGTGCCCACGGAGAAGAGTGTGCTTAGCATAGGACAAAGGCAGCACATTTTGAAATTAGATTAACAGTGCCTAAGCTTAAAACACAAAATTGGCTATATGGATGACCACAATTGGTGAGATCTGACATAAATTTTCAACTCACTGCATCAGCTCCCAGTGTGAATGCACTCACTGAATACTAAAAGGTGGCTCCTTCCCCCTCCCTGTGCCTGATTGCTGTTGTCCTGTGCCCAGTTGTGCCAGTTCATCCCTAGGTAATCCTATGGACCTGTAACATTCTGTGGTTAATGGCCAGACACACTTGGGTTGTCATTTGCCAAGCTCCAGTCAGAATGAATGTACTTTTGGTAGGCTTTGAAATAGGAAACTTATGTTTAAACATCCAATAATATTGAGAGATTCACTGACTAAACCTCCCTAATACCACCTCATAAATATGTGAATAAAAGACTACAACATGGTATTGCTGGAAATGAACAGAAGACTCTCACTGGTTCAATATGCTTAAAATCTAAACATGCCTAGATTTGGCCATAAGGTTCCTCTTCATTATTTTTCATAGAAGAGACAATTCAATTGCATATGAAGGTTTTGAGACAAGAGGAAACAAATCGTTCATTTGTTTCCTGGCAGTGTTACACTGTGCAGTGGTATGGAGTTGTTCCTGGCTCACCTGATGTGAAGCAGAGTCAAGACAAATATTATGGTTCAGATGTAAATCCAAGAGATGAACATGTGTATGGAAGTAACATCTTGCTATAACAAACTATGGAAAAGGATGTGCATTTGTGTATATGTTTATTTACAATTATGTCCATTTCCATCTCAATTTCATCTTTACTGCAGCAGGAAATCCCTTTGCCAGAGGTTTGGGAATTTCTATGGTAGTGTGCTTGGATACTGAGGCCAATGGAAGGTGTGTTCTTTTCATTTTAATGGGATTGCAATTTTGAGCTTTCTAGTTGCTCTTTGGCAGACCCAGTGCTATTTGAAAGCATCACCAATCTGTTACACATCTTGGTCCTAACAGAGGTTTAAAAACCACTTTCAATCAGTTTTCAAGGCTGAGGTTTAGAGTAGGAGCTTGGTTTTCTTGCTGTTTGTATTATTTGCCATGGCTCTCACAAAGCTAACTAGCTGTTAAAAAGAAGCATAATTTCACTTGTGTATTTTTGCCTCTCAAGATGAACAAGGAGATTGCAGACCCTGCTTCTAAAACAAACCCATTTGTTTCGTTAATACTAAATGCATAATGAAACCATACAGTTTTTTAAGTTGCTATAGCTTTGACCTTTCAAGGCACTCTGAAAGATGACACTGTCAATTCAGTGTCATTAGTCATATGCCTAAAACTAACATGTTCCTATCATTCAAGAATCAAGGATAAAGAGAGGAAAGAGTGCTTCTGGGCAAAGCAAGAAATGACCAGAATTATCTTAGGAAGCCATCTATAACCTAAATTATTTTTATGATACAATTTACGTTGAGAAACACCAAAACTCTTATAAAACATATCACTAAACAACAGCCCTTGATAATATTTCATAAGCCCTTCTAAGAAATGACCATGACTTCCTCCTGTATTGACAACAGGGGATCTGTGGGTGAAGAGTGATAATTCTTTGCGAACGTCAATGTGCAAAAGCTCATGTGCAGTGTTTCATAGCAAGGGCCTCAAGTGCTATGGAATCCTACTTACAGCTCTGTACTCCCAAATCTCATAGCTTATGTTTCTCTACAGTCACGCTCTTACAAACTATTTCTTTATTACAGTTGGGTTACCAAATTAGAATACTTACATGTGCATGTATGTATCCCCCATTTACATTGAAAAAAACCCTATCCATAGATAGTTTAGGACTTGCTAAGTAGGGCTTGCAAATTGCCAAGTTAAAAAACTAACAAACAAAAAGAAACAAACCAACCAAACAAAAACCCAAACCACACCAAAATCTCAGAAGTTACTCTGCTTTTACTCCCAAAAATTTGCCACAATGCTGGGCAGCACTCTCTGGAGACCTAGCTTGTTCTCTCAGTAAGAGTCTCATACTGATGTGTCTTCCGTCAAGTTGAACTTTTCTTTTAACAGGTAGCTTCAGCCACGTGTAAAAGCATGCTGGACAAGTAAACCTGCTAAATAGACTAGGTGAGAAATATGTAACCTAATTGAAAGGACTTTTTGTGAGTAGATTTAAGAATAACTTTCAAAGGAGAAAAAGGGCAGCTCATGTCCCTTTAGTGATACTAATTGCAGTCGTCCTTTCCTGTGATTTCACCCATCTTTCCATTCTATCTGAAAACTCAGTATGCTATCCATGTATTAGTTAGCCTTAGTATCTGTATTGCCAGAAGAGCTGAAAACTGGTTTTTATTTATATGAAAGCTTAAGTTTTGTATGAAACCTCAGAAGTACTTAAATTCTAGAGGGGGGCTTGAAACCTATCCTTTATCACTAGAATTTCAGAAGCAAGTGTATTAATAGCCCTTGACCTTCAAAGGAGCATATTTAGATCATGCTTAATAACTGCACACACTAAATCTCAGGTCTTACTTACATTGCATTACACTAAATCCTTGGACAGAATATGTATAAAAAATAGACTCTTCCTAATCAGATATCATCTGTATTTCCATTCTGACCCATCAATAAGTGGGTTTCAGAGATAAATGTGAGCTGTGGTATTTTACTTTGCTGGGATAAAACGCTGAAGCCTGTTAAACACTACATCCATGTTTATGGCTGGACCAGGATCAGTGCTGTCACTGTGCAGCTTCTCAAACACAGGACAGGAATGCTGTGCTTCCTTTTCAGTCTGTCTGTGTTTCAAGCCTGCATCAAACCAATCTCGTCCACTCTTCCACGCCATATACATTTTTCACTGCATAAAAATTCCCCGTCCAAACAACAGCAGGTTTAATATTAATAACCTGGCTTCTCTTTATTAAGCCATTCACCATCATGCTGCTGTAAAATCTTATGCCCAGCAAGGGAAGCTGGCTGAAGCACTACAGTCCAAGCAGCTGTAATGCTGAGCAGATGAGCTAAAGAACATCAACAGTTAAAACTGGTACTTTTTAGTTTCAGAGCAAATGCCCTGTGATGGCAGGAATTCTCTTCCCACCAACTCTAGTGATAATAAAGTTGAGAGTAATCTTTTTGTAGCTGTTTCCCTTGATTACCTTTATCCTCCAACCCCCTGCTATCATGCCTCATTTACTGTCTCCCATCATTGGCTTCTTTCTATTGTGTAGAGATACCTACTGCAAGGAGAATAATCCAAAATTATACTCACTGTACAGGGCTTCAAAATGAAAGCAGAGGACACAGAAAGTTACAGCAACTGACTTCATGCCTGCCTGATACAGAGGCACCATCCTTCTGTCTGCTCTGAAGATGAGGAAGAACACATGGGTAGAAAAGGAAGTGGTTTGTGGGCACTGGGGGAAATTGTAAGATAATCAGAAGGACTCTGTAATTTAACCCCTGACTATATTATAGCTATGTCAGCATTAGCTGTTGCACGCACCTGTGGAGTTTAATGCTTTTTTTTTTTTCCTGTCTCATGGCTTGCTGTCATGGACAGGAAGATGAAAGATTTTCTGACATTAATTTTCATGTTCACTTCTGCAAAGACTTATTTCTGGTTAAGTGTGTCACAACAGGGGCTACAGTCACCTACAGTACACATCTACAGATGGCCATGGTCAGCAGCCTCCTTAAATTAGCTTACAATAAATACAACTGCCCTTACAAAACTAATGGTCTTGCTCTATGTGGAAACCATTCATTAGTAGAGTAGGAGTCTCATTGGAAGAACATGGCCAAATTGCAGAAAGATCCCTTCAATCCTGTGACTTCCTAAAGTTCACTCCAGTGTGACTTCCAGCCTGGAGGTCAGGCTTGCTTTGCCTGAAGTTTCATGAGAAACTTCATGCAGCTCTGTGAGAGGAGGAAATTAGACCCAGTGCCCCAGGGCCTTAGGTCAAAAGTTTCTGTCCTTCCCTCTCCCTTGCTTTTTGCAGCACACTCTATTCCAGTCTGTTATCCATCTGTATTCCAGGAATGTTTTAGGACCCTTTGTGACAACATGTTCTACAGTCATTTAGTCCTGGCTATTTATTCTATGTCTATAATGCTAAATTTAGTGCAGATAACATGCAAGAAAAGCAGCTTATAAATCGCGTTTAATATATTTGATGCAGTTAGCACTTTTGATTGCACAAAATGAAAACATAAAGGACTAATAATGGTGCCTTACAGACATTCCCAGAGTTGAGTTCTTGAAATGGTCATGCAGTGGTACCAAATAACTGGTGAATAACAGGATTGTGTTACAGATTCACTCCTATTTTATACTGTGTGAATAAATATTTAAATGTTGGTTTACTTCTCCTCAAGAAGTGATTTAATTTCTTTCACTACTACTGCTGTAGTAGTGTTTACATGGACACTGGCAACAAGTTTTACTTTTTCATATCTTTTCAAAGTCGTGCAAATCTTTGCCTTTTTTAAAATTAAAATCAGAGCTAAGCCTGAGTCAAGTCAGGATTTGATCCAAATTTTCAGCTCAGGTTTCTGGAGCCAAGCATAAGTAACTTTAACTAGAGAAAGTTTCTGTGGTATGCTTTTAATTCTGAAGCTGAAAAGTAATATATGGAGGTCCAAACAATGACAAAGCTGCAAAAGACACATCTGACTCTGGAACTTTGCCTATGAAAGTGTGACCCACATTAGGATCTACTGAGGTTCCAGGTGGGATCATCTTTTCCATTCCCCACAAAACTCATGGGGAATGCTGAAAGATCAGAGCAGCCCTCTCCTGGCACAAGACCTTCATTGTCCCTCAAGTAAGCATAGGAGATGCTGCCAGAAAGACTTGTAGTAAAAAGAGCTGCTGCTGCTACAAAATTGAAGGTGGAAGAGAATCATGTGCCAAGTACCCCTATCCATATCTTTGGGAGAGCATGCTGACAACACATCAAGAACTGAGTCCCTACAAAGCCTACCACAGGCTGGGAAGGCCAATAAAGATGGAGGGGAATGTATTCCTTTGAGAAAAGCTTTAGCTAACTTTTTACAAAAACAAGCTTCAAAACAAATCAGTATTGTTGTTAGGGTTCAAAATGTTTATGTCCTTCTTAAAAATTTAAACAGTCTGTTAGGAAACTAATTTTGATAGAGAATATTTTTTTTTTTAACCAATATATTTATTTTGGAGCAACTTACTCCTTCCCTCTCTCTCTGTGACTGTTTCAGTTATACCAATGCAGAGATGATTAATACACATCTATTTCACTTCTGGGGTAAGAATAGCTACTAGCATAGCTTGGTTGGCATAGATCTCACTAGAACAATCGAAGCCAGTAAACAGTTTGTATTTGTTATGTACTCTCTCTTTCCTATAGTTATAGCCTGAAGTCTGGAATTACACCTTCTCTTTTTCTGCTTCCTGGCACTTGGGATTGCTACAACACACTGATCCCTTTGTTTCAAAAGGGTCGAGCCTGGAGTACACTTTGGGGTACATTTGGCCGCACTCTGAAGTTTGATCTAAACAGTGATTTCAAGTGTATTTGATGATGAGCCAGCAGAACCTGGGGCTCTCACAGTGGATATTCACAAGCGAAGAGACACAAAGTCTAGCTCAGGGCCCAGCACAAGGGATGCTCACCTTCTAGTCCCCACCAACAGAGACTCCTCCACCACCTTTCAGTTCTTTTGTCTTTGCCTCCCTCCTCTGTCAGCACTCACCTACTTCACAAAGACATCGTTACTGCAATTTGGAAATGTTTCCTGTAAAATGTTTCCTGTAAATACTACGGTTGGTTACAGTTAACCACCTGGGACAAGCAGTCTGTTTCCACAACACATTTCCTACAACTGCAACTTATTTTGCTCACAAACACGTGTTTCCTTTTTCCATCTTCATTCATTTCTCTGTGTCTTGATTTTTACTCTCCCATCCACACACGCCTCTCAGAGCTGGCTTCTTTTCTCCTCTAACCTGATTGTCCCCCAGTCCCTGACTACCCTTCTCCTCAAGCAGAGGCTGCCCTTCACCACATGCAGTAAATCCCGTCTGAAATGTAGCCTTTCCTTCTCCTCAAGTCCTATTCTTTCCTCATGTCCTACCCACAACACTACTCTATAGTGATAATCTCCTTTTTTTCCTATCATCTCACTTCTGACTATTTACAACCTGGAAAAGCCTTATGTGAATTTTTATGCCTTTAAAAATGCATTCAGTGATACACTGAGTTCCAAATGGGCTTGCTCACCCCTTAGTCCGTACACCAGTGTTCTCTACCACAAATCTTCAGGGCTTCTGCCTTCTAGCTCCAAGTAACTTGGAAAACAACACTTCTGCAGTTTCCCTAAGGACACAGAAAAGATTTTCCCTGTGTGTATGATGTATATTTTTCTTTGCTCTCTTTAATCACATAATTTTTATTTATACTTACTGTTACCACCCTAAACAATGTCCATGTTAGCAGAATGATACTGCAAGGTCTGCTGTGAAACCAAGGTACATTGAAATGTCTTATTCCATCTCACCAACAGTTTTCCACTTCTGCTTGCGGATGGTGAGCAGTTGCCCACAGCAATATAAAATATTCTCTCAATAGAATGTTTTGTAATTCTTTCTGCAGAGGCTTCTACAGTCTATCCACACAAATTATATTCTGTTGTCTCCTGCTGCTTCTCATTCTTTGCTTCAATATCTGGCCTATATTCTCATGACTCTGGGTCATTCCCTCGGGGCTGGAGCAGAAAGCCTCTACACTCATGTGTTTTCATTTCCTGTCCTCCTAGTTGAGGAGGGGAACAATGATTTTCACTGTGCTATTTTTAAGGTCCTGTGATGATTTTAAATCCCACTTCCCATCTGCACCAGTCCCCATTAGGTGTGTAAACAAGCTGCAGTCATTCAGTATGTAGAGATTTCAGCCTGAAATGCAGCTCATGTGCTCCCTCATTTGTTCTGATGCCTCCTTTGCTGATATATTGGTCTAATCTCTCCTCTAGGCCCGTGGGGCAGGCATGCTGTAGTATTCTCTCCATCAGTGTGACAGTGGAGGCTACTGGCGCTCAGCTCAGCAGCAGGGCACCTCCCTGCAGAGTAGGTCTAATGAGATGGTTCCCTTTGGTGTTACAGTCTGTGTGGCTTTGCTTCTTGGTACAAGCTCAGGTACTCTATGAATATTTTTTTTTTGATGATGATGCTTGAGAATATTTCATTGTCATTGACTTCCCTAAAAGAAGAAAAAAATGAAGTATGTTAAGGAGTTTAGCCCAGCTCTAAGGCTTGCAAGGGTATTGACCTATAAATTCAGTCAACAGGCACTAAGTGGCAATTCAGCCAAGTCTAAACAAGTTGCCCAGAGAGGCAGTGGAAGCCCCATCCCTGGGAACAACTGAAGAAGTTGAAGATGTCCCTGAGCATTGCAGGGGGGTTGGACTAGGTGGTGTTGAAGGGTCCCTTCCAACACAAGCTGTTCTATGATTCTAAATGCCACTTCAGACCCTGGGACTAATGTCTTGGACTGGCTGACTCAAGGCAACTGAGAGCCACCTAGGAAAAAACTGTCTCCATCTGATGTCAGGAGCTGCTATCCCTCTGTGTATCCAGCCCCTGTGCATCCTTCAACACAGTTACCTAATAGAGGTACTGAACCACTTCTCTAAGATATGGAGTGTAGATAAAAAAGGGCCCAATGTGCAGGAGGCCCTGAGTGTGCAGGAGGTATTTAGGAGAATGCAAGGGTTGTAGGTGGCTTGGGTTTATGGGCAGTGCTCCAGAAGGAAGAGCGTGCTTTCTGAAGCCATTGCAGTTCCCTGTGGCCAACAGGCTGCTGTATGGGACTTTGTTACAGGGCTGCTTATATCTAGGTTTGGAAGGGAGGTCTTCCAGAATGGATAGTGAATATGTAAAACCCAAATGAAGTGCAAACCTGGAGACCCATACAGGTATTGTCTGGTACATGGCAGCAGTGCATGTGAGATATGTGCTGATGAGCTGGGTGATCGTGGAAGTTATTTGGCTTCTGAATGTAAATTTAACTGTCTTTTAGGTGTGACAGTGATGAATTATACACATTTGTAAAATTTTCACACCCCAACTCTTTCAAAGCTTGTAGTAGGGTGGGGGCTCCTGTTATGTGGTTATCTGGTCAGCTGCCTTGAAGGAGTTAGGATAGAAAGAGCCACATTCTGCGGTGCTGCTTGGGGTTTGTGGTGTGATTTTTATCTCAGCACTGTTGTGATTACTTTTTAAAGGTAAACTCTTACTACCACTGTGTTGACAAAGAGGATCTTTCTCCAACAGAAACAGTCCCCAAAGTTATGATGCATTCTTGTAGATAAATCAAAAGTTATGCTGAAAATTGCAAGGACAGGTGAAGCAGCACAACCCTGGTTTGGACTTCCAGAAACACTGAAGTGGCTGAGGACACATACATGCTACCGTCTGTTCCCAGGTGACTTAAAGAGCTTTTGAAACCTCTGTTTCTCAAGTGTTTTCAAGCCAGGCTTCACTGTTGTTAGTGGTTAACTGAAGCAAGGCTTAGACAGCTGAGGCCTTGGTGGATTTGAAGGAGTGAAAACAATGAAATCACAAATACGTAGCTAAGTATCCTCTGTTTTGTGTCTGTCATTCAGAATCTCACAGGTTACTGCCGTGGGAACAAAGGCAGTACCGAAGGCAGTGCTCCCACCTGCAAAGGTGAGATCACTCGATCGTCCCGCTCCGGGCTTGGTCCCGCCGCCCTCCTCTGATGGGTGCCAGAGCCAAGACAGCCACAGCTGGGCTGCAGCGCTGTGTCACCCCCGGGGCTCCTGCGGCGAGGGACTGCTGAAGGGTTTGCTTCCCCTTCTGCAGGAGACGCTGCCAAGAGCTGCCCTTCACGCTGGGCGCTGTGAAACGGGGGGAGCAGCATTCCTTGGCAGTGCAGCCGCCGCCCGCAGCGCCAGCCCCGCGGGGAAACCCCTGCGGGTCCCCCGTGCCCCGCGCGGAGCCCCCGGCACGGGGCGGGCGCGTCTCCCGCGGCCACACGGGGGCGCTGCCGGATCGGCTCCGGCGCGGCCGGGCCCGGAGGGGAGCGCTGAGTGCGGGGGGACCGTGAGCTCGGG